TTTCCCTTCCCCTCTGAAATCAATTATATCCTATATAAAAAAGTGTAGTATGCAAATTGTCCTCTCCACCACCAGGGAGTTCAACTGGAGTTGGACCAGGGAGCCCGTGGGGGAAGGGAGGGAGGCCAGGGCAGGCGAGATGGCAGGAGGCCCTGGGAGGCAGTGGTGGCAGGGTAGACCCTACCAGTGCACAAATTTCATGCACTGGGCCTCTAGTGTTTTTAATAGTGTCCATGAAAGGTGCAGGAAAGATGGCAGTGGACCAAAGTTTGAAAACTGGTGGCCCATAGCCAAATAGAACTCTGTTTTGCCTGCTAATGCTATTTCAATAAATGATTTGCCCTAGCTGGTTTGGCTCAGTGGATAGAAAGTTGACCTGTGGACTGAAGGGTCCCAGGTTTGATTCTGGTCAAGGGCACATGCCTGGGTTGCAGCCTCGATCCCTAGCAGGGGGTGTGCAGGAGGCAGCTGACCGAACAGTGATTCTCTCTCATCATTGATGTTTCTATCTCCCCTCTCCCTCCCTCTCTGAGATCAATAAAAATATATTTTAAAAAACAAAATACAGCCCTGAAAAAAAAATACAGCCCTGACCAGTTTGGCTCAGTGGATAGAGCGTGGGCCTGCGGACTGAAGGGTCCCAGGTTTGATTCCGGTCAAGGGCATGTACCTTGGCTGCAGGCACATCCCTAGTAGGGGGTGTGCAGGAGGCAGCTGATCGATGTTTCTCATCGGTGTTTCTAACTCTCTATCCCTCTCCCTTCCTCTCTGTAAAAAAATCAATAAAATATTAAAAGATACTTGATTTAACTACTGATATATTTAAATGAGGAGTCTTAAATTCACATTAGAAATGCAAATTTCCAGTTTCTTAGGAAAAATTGGGAGATCCAACCAAGTTAAGCCCATGGACTGCCCCCCCCTATAAATGCTGTCCTCTTCTAAGCTATTCTCCAGGCTGGCTGCTCATTTGCCCCACCTGTCTGGTCCCTCTCCAGTGGTTCTCAACCTTCCTAATGCCGTGACCCTTTAATACAGTTCCTCATGTTGTGACCCCCAACCATAAAATTAATTTCGTTGCTACTTCATAACTGTAATTTTGCTACTGTTATGAATCGTAATGTAAATATCTGATATGCAGGATGTATTTTCAGGGGTCACGACCCACAGATTGATAACCACTGCCTAGACATTTGAACCAACGACCCCTGTTATAGATCACAACATGGGACCTTGGTTGGTTGCTCCTTTATTTTATTTTAAGAAGCTTCCCTTTTGAATGAATGAACTTATTCAGGATTAACTGATGAGACATCTTTTCTGGCTCATGTATTTTTAATGAGTCAGACATGTACAACAAGGGTCCTCTGCCACTCCTCTCCCAAGGGGTATGCCCTTCCAGAGATTTACTTATATCCATACAAACAAGGACATGTACATTCCACTAGACTTCCATGAGGGCAGGGATTTTTGTTAAGTACGGTCACTACTGAATCCCCAGCATCTAGAACAGTACTTAGCCTATAGGAGGTGATCAAAGGAAAGGCATCTTCAACATCGGGGACAGGAAATGCAAAGTCAGGGAGGGTCCCCTGAAAGTATAAGGAATGCAAGCAGTTTTGAATGGCTGGAGAGTGGTGGGCAAGAGTTTGATTGGGGTCAGAACTCAAAGGCTTTTAACTCTCAGCTAAGGAACATGACCCTTTTCCAGGGTGGCTTTAAGCATGGGAGTGGCCAATGTGGGTTGCTCCCGCTGTGGTGAAGAGAAGAGACTAGAGCCAAGTAACAGGTCGGGAGATTGAATAGGGGGTCATTAGGACCAGATGCGGGAGGGCAAGGCCTGGGCCAGGGAAGTCTCCACCGGAAAGGGGATCAGAAGTCCCACAGGAAGACTAAACATCAGTAACTGATCCCCTTTGGGAAGCCAGAGAGAGAGAAGTTGAGAATAGTATTCTGTGGAATGGAGGTGCCACACACCCATGGCGTGGAGAAAAGTAGATAGGGGCTCAGGGATGGGAAATCCCAGGGTTGCCGGGGTCCCTGAGGGGACTATGTGGTCAGAGTTAAAACTGGCATCCATGGTGAAGAGGGAGGGGAGGGAGCGGTGTCTCTCAGGAGCAGGAGAGGATGACCTTAGGAAGGGGTCCCGGGCAGAGCCTGTGATTGGGCCTTTTGGGGAAGGAAGATGAACTGTTGGCACTTGTGCTGATGGTGGCCCAGGTCCAACTCCTGGCACCCCAAGCACAAATATTCACAGCTTAGCATATCTCTAACTTGATGTGAAACCTTGGGCAACTCATGTCTCTCAGAGTCTAGTTCCATGATCTATACGATAGGAATAATGAGAACCACTCACAAAGAAGTTGTGAGGATAAAATGAGGTCAGGATGGGAGAAAACCCTGTAAATTGTAAAGCCCCCTCTGAAACCAGGCCCAGATCCATGGCACAGCAGACGGGCAGGCAGTCTCCACTCACATCACACACTCCACACCCCCTCAGAGGCACATTTACACTCCTTATCAAAACCACCATGAGCAATGCTCCAGGCCTCCCCAACAAAAGCCCCATATACACACCAAGTCTGAATGAATCCCTCTGTCTGGGTGGCCTGGAGCAAGGGTCTGAAAGGAGACAAGAGTCAGGGGTGATTTAACTAGGGTAATGCTACCTGCTATAACAAATAGACCCTAATGTGTGTATTGGTTTGCGGTTTATTTCTCGCTCATATGTAACAGCCCAAGACTGCTGTTTCTGGTTGATGAGTGGCTTGCCTTTGGGCACTAATGTAGAGACCAAGGTTTCTTCCTTCCTGTGTCTCCACAATCTCCTGGAACCTCATCATCTTCTGTATCCAGCCAGCTAAAGGGAAAAGAGAATGTAGAGAGCGTATACTACTTCAAAGCCTTGGTCCAGAAACAGCACACATCATTCCACTCATATTCAATTGGTGGGAGCTAGTCACATGGCCATACCTTACAGCAAGGTAGCCTGGGAAATTAAAGTTTAGCCATGTTCCCAGGAAGTAAAGAACATGAATTTGTGGTGAAGAAAGACTTAGTTTCTGCCACCGAAGGTTTCAGGTCCTGGGCCTAGAAAGGGGCAGGGTGTAGAGGGTAGAATATGGAAAAGGGGGTGTCACCTTTTCCTTTAGAGAGAGGGGCCCAAACTGGGGTAATGGGTGACTAAAGGGCTCTAAGTCCATACTTAAAGTAGTGGGTACATGTATGTTTAAGAAAGAGGCAAACTGAGGATTCTGGCTAAAGGGTCCAAGTTCATCTGGAACTGGGCCAGGCTGAGAGGGCAGGGTGGCACTCTTCAGTTGACAGGGCTCTACCGAGGTGGGTGGGATTTGTATGTGAGCGAAGTGAGTGTGAATGCACGTGTGTCTTTGAGCACCGATGCACCTGGTCCATGTCCCTGCCCAGATGGGCGAGTGAGGGCTTACACATGCCTATGTGCAGGTGTGCCTGTCACATGTACCTGTCCACAGGACTGTGCATTCATATGACTGAACACCAGGTGATCCTTATGAGGGAGAACCTGTGTGTTTATGACAGGCACACCCGAATGGTCTGTATGTACATGACCATGCATGCAAGGTTTCAGTCTGTCTGCACAATTAGGCACATGCCTGAGAAGTGTCTGGGCACAACTGCCTGGAGGAGGTGTGCTGAATGTGCACAAGCCCAACCCACAGCACATGTGAGATAAGTGTGTGCTGAGTAAAGTCCATGTGTGAATGGATACGCGGTGCACATGTACACATGTACACAAGCCCATGGAAGCCCCTGCCGGGGTGTCCGGAGTTGCCTAGGTGTGTGAGCGTGCACTTCTGTGTGCCCAGGCATGACCTTGGAGCTCCCTGGGCAGGGTCAGACCAGCTGAGCTCCTCTCTGGGCACACAGAGGCCTCTGTGTGTGTTAGTGCCTGTGTGGGGCGCTGCAAGGTTGTGTTGGTGGCGTGTGTGTGTGTGTGTGTGTGTGTGTGTAGGAAGAAGCTGTTCGCTCTCTTAGACCTTGCTTTTTTCTGTGGTTCCGTTTCTATAGAGACACTTCCTGTGGCAGAGAAAAGAGGTAGTGAGCTGGTCTTTCAGGATGTGAGGGCCCACAGGAGCGGAGCTGGGCTCTCTCCGCCGCCTGCCTGCCGCCCTGCAAGCTCTGGCCTGCGGCGCTGCCCACAGTCCCCATGGTGGGTACCCCCCGTGGCGGGGCCCGGTGAACAGCAGAGGCATGCCAGGGAAGCCCAAGCACCTGGGCGTCCCCAACGGGCGCATGGTGAGTGTAGGCTCCAGGCCAGGCTCTTGGGGAGGGGTGGGCACACCCAGGGTGGAGCCCAGGAGCTCACAGGCAGGGCTGGGCAAGAAGAGCCTGCAGGCTGCTTGTGGGTGGAAAAAGTTGGGTACAGATAGCAGGTGGTGGGACCTGTTGCCCTCACCCCAGCACCTTCCAGATTGGCCGGCTGGGGACCTGGTCACAGGCTTCTGGGTCCAGCCCTTACTGCTCCCTCTCCTATTGCTTTGGAGCTGCTTGCATCCTAGGGTAGCAGGGACACTTGGCATGCCCCTTGGCCCCTGCACACCCCATGGTGGCCCAAGCCCCCACACCTCACTTAGCCTCAGCCCTCCCCTCCTCACCCCATGTTCTGATGCCCAAGGTCAAGTAAGGGGCAGCCGGCACTGGGTCACTGCCCTGCAGCTGGACCAATTCCATAGGCTTCCTGCCAGCACGGGCAGTCCTTGGGCAGCCTGGGATGGGTGCAGCTTGTCTGTTCTATTCCGGGGCTACCAGGAAGGGTAGAGGTAGCTGGGCTGTAGGATGCCCTGGCTGTTGCTGCTGCCCCACCCCCTAAACCCTCTCCCTGGCTGCTTGGCCTCCGGGTCAGAGCTGCCCTTGCAGGTCCAGCTTCTTTACTCTTGCAGCAGACAGGGCAGGTTGTGCTGGGCCTCCCTTCTCTACTAGAATAACAGCCCACTTGGCAGACCCCTAGCCCCTCCCAACAACCCCAGAAAGGCCAGACTGTGTCCTAGCCCCTCACCAGGCCTCAGCCTAGTATTACGGAACAAAGCCATTGGGTCTGGAAACCTGGGTTCCATTCTCCCTTACTAGGGGGTCCTCTCTGAGCCTCAGTTTCTTCATCTGTAAAATGAGAATAGAACAGTTATCAGAGGCTTGTTGAGATGAAGTGGAATGGTGACTATGAGCCCCCTGACCCATTATGAGAGCTCCATAAATGTCAGCCCAATCCCACCCCTTCATTCTCAGCCCCTCTTCAAGGATCCCCCGCCTCATCAGGAAACTGAGCCGCCCCCAAACCCACTGCAGCCTCCTAATTCTCAAGATCTGTTTCCGTCTCTCCTTCTTCCAGCATCTGCTTATTGCCCAGCGCCAGGCTAGCTGTGTAGGAGAGAGGCAGGTCCCTCCAAGTTAGCCCAGTCGTCCACCTCACTGTTTCTACCATCAAGTTTACTGAAAGTTCAAGAACGCTTGGGCCTCACACTCCTACCCTGGAGGCATGACACTTGGGTGTCCAGGCCAAGGGGGACCATGCCCACTCCCATGCCCACCCCAGTCGGCAGCGGAGGAGCCTGGAGACAGGCTTTACCTCTACCCTTCCCTCATCAGTGATGTCTGCTCTGCCCAAAGTCATGGAGAGCAAGGAGGGCACCCAAGCCATGCGCCCGGCCTCCACAAGCCCACAGGCTTTCCTCTCAGCAACCGGCACACGGGTCTGCCTTTGCCCTTCCTGGGCCTGTGCTGAATGCTCTGTGCCACCTTGGGAGTCCCGAGGGCTACAAATTGGCCACTTGCTGGTCATCGAGAGCTTTCTGAGGCCATGTTCAGCTGAAACAGGGAGAGACAGACATGCACTGGCATCTGCAGCAGGGGTGAGCATAGAGAGGCACCTGTGAGCTAGGTATCTGGCTCCTTCCATGAATTACCTCCAGCTAGAGGCTCAGAGGAATAAGTGACTTGCTGAGGGCAGCTGGCAGATAGAAAGGGCTGCATTTGAACCCGGCTAGTCTGACTCAATACCAGGGCTCCTTTGCCTCCCCAAACTGCTTGGCTCTGTCCTCCCCCTCCCTCCCCAGCTGCCACCCCACCCGCCATCATTCCCTGCAGAGGCAATTTTATTCCTCAGCCTTGTCTTTCTGCCACTCAGCGTGTCAGGCAACTGCAGTGAAACCTGTCACTTAGAGATGACTCTCAGCCCTCTTCCCAGAGATGTCTTCACGCGGCTCCAACCGCCACGTCACCTGTTCACTCCTTCATTCAACCTCTTCTTAAGACCTGCTCTGGGCCACCCCTGCCCTGACCCTCATCCCAGGCCCAGCATCCTGTCCCCTGCCCTCAAGCAGCTCCCAGGCTGGCAAGACACAAAAGACATGAGCACAAATGCCTGAATCAAATTCAGGTTTGGGCAGAGCGCCGGTCAGGGATAGAGAAGGCTAGAGGGGCCTGGGGAGGGAGAACTGACCTCCTCCCTCCTGGGTGCACTGTGGCAGGGCAGGTATCCTGAAAGGATGTGCCAGCTGGAGGAGGGCATGGCCTGGAGAAAGGCCCAGACATGGGAAACGCTGGGAGGGGTGGTTATTGTGTCTGTCAATCCCCAGAGGCCTGGTTAATCGTCCCCACCCGACAAGGAGACCGGCAAGGCACAGCCCACTCGCCCTCTGGACCAGTGGTTCTCAACCTGTGGGTCGCGACCCCTTTGGGGGTTGAACGACCCTTTCACAGGGGTCGCCTAAGACCATCGGAAAACACATCTATAATTACATATTGCTTTTGTGATTTATCACTATACTTTAATGATGTTCAATTTGTAACAATGAAATTGGGGGTCACCACAACATGAGGAACTGTATTAAAGGGTCGCGGCATTAGGAAGGTTGAGAACCACTGCTCTGGACCATCCATCTCAGGGCCAGGCCCTGAGTGACAGGTGGCCTTACCGAGGGGCCAAGTCTGGGGTCAGGTCCATAGGGCTGGCTCAGACTGAAGGGGCCAGGCTCCTACGGTTCTCTGTGGGTGTCTCTGGGCCTCTGTTTCCCCAAGTTAGAATGAGATGATGGTACAGAGTGCCCAGCACAGAGGACACTCAGTAAATTGACCCTCTCTTTGAGGGTCTGACCTCACCAGGGGTCCAGGTTCATGAGGAGCCACTGGGCCTTATACCCCCAATTGACCTTGCCCACCTGTGGCCCAAGGGCTCAGGCCCTGGGCCTCCCAGCTCCCCTGGGATGTCTCCTTTCCATCCTGGGAAGCAACTTAGTGGAGGGGAGACCTCAGACTCCAGAGTCAGGCGCACTGGGTTCCGATTTCAGCCCAGCCACCTCGCAGCCGCGTGACTTCTGGGGCCTAGGTTTCCTCACCTGTGACATGGGAGTAACAGTAACTGCCGCACAGGACCAGGATGTGAGGGTGGCGTGAGAGCAAGGACATGGACTGTCAGAGAGTACCGGTCACACACGGGAGCTCAGGAAACCGGCCACCCTCACCTCAGTGTGCTCAGTGTCCAGCGGCTCCCCCAGGGCCCATCTCCTAAGAAAAAGTATGGCAGGCTGAGGCCCGACCATGGGTTGGGGATGCCACTGGCCACCACACCCTTCCTCATCCTCTCTTCCCCTTTTCTCCCCATTCACTCACCACTTCTCCTCAGGCGGGCCGGGTGGGGCCAGGCCAGCCCTGCTCAGCGCGAGTTCCCCGGGCCTGGGAGCCTGGGCAGGTAGGAGCTGGGGCATCAGCATGCCAGCGGAGCCCGGACCACCACCGGCCGGCTGCTTTCACATACGGGCCTCGTCTGCCCTTCCCAGCAGCCCCAGCATGTTGGGAATGCTGAGCCACATGCTATCCAGGGGGAAACTGAGGCCCAGAGAAGGGAAGTTACTTGCCCCAGAATAGTGGAACTGGAACTGGACTCTATCTCCACCCTCTCCCACCTCTGATCTCTGTCCCTATCCTGCCTTGACCTCAACCACAAAGATCAACAACCAGTGGGGCAGGAGGGGTTCAGGAAGGTGAACTGCAGGCCTCAGAGATGGGGTGTTCATGTGGAGCATCCCTGGTGGGGAGGGGTGCTGGGGCCACCTGGGGTGCAGAGGAGGGCTACTTGGGAGCACTGGGGCAAGGAAGGGTCTTCATGGAATGGTGTTCAGGTTGGTTCCCTCCTACAACCCAGACCTGCCCCCTGGATGCTACCAGACTGATAAGGGAGAGAGGCCCAGAAATGGGTGGGTAGAAGCTGGGTGGGCAGCTGGTATTTGGGGGAGACTGATGTCAGTGGGCAGAGATTGGAGAGCTGTTGGGTAGGGGAGCAGGAGAAGATATCAGGCAGAGGAAAGAGCAAACCGGGAAGCAGGAGTCTGTAGGGGTGAGCGGAAAGGTCTGATAAAGTGCAGGGTGGAGGTGAGGGAGGGGAAAGAGGGAGGCTGAGGGGGGTCATTCGCCAGGCCCACGCAGGGCTTCAGCTATAACTCAGCACCTGCTTGGCCTCCCTGGGCAGGGAGTGGGGCCTGTGGAGGATCTGGGAGCTGGCTCCACCTAAAGACACGGAAAATCAATTTGACCCAGTGCAAACAGACCAGGCGTGAGGGCTGGCTCCGGTGTGGGAACCTTTGCCCTCTCTGAGGCCCTGGCCTGGCCCCTGCAGTCATCGGGGCTCTGCCCAGGTTGGAGGACAGGCCAGAGGAGGCCAGTGGGTACAGGAGCGGGCAGGACCCAGTGGCACCCCTAGAGGAGTGGGGAGTCAGGATGGTTCCCAGAGACCTGCGGGGAGGGCTCTGACCGTGGCGATGAGGTTGGGAACAGCTGCAGAGCAGTTTGAAAGAGCAGGCTGGAAGGGGCGGGTCGTCCTCACACATCCCAGCAGTTGGGACTTTCTCCTGCCGCAGTGGGAGACCACTCAGATGAAACCGTTAGACGGGACAGAGCAAAGGCAGGAGGGTGAGGGCTGGGCGGGGTGCGCTGGGAGCCGATTCCAGGCCCAGCCATGCCCCGGTGAAAACTTTCCCCCCTCCTCCTCAGTATCTGATCCCAGTGCTCCTGTTGGGAAAGGAGGCTCCGGGAGGAGACCACGGTTATGAAACTAGAAAAGGCTGGGATTTGAATCTGTGCTCTCTCCTCTGTGGCAGGGCTCACAAACTTGAAAGTGGGAGCAGGGTCAGACGCCAATACTAATACAACAACAGCAATCTTATTGTTGTCAGTATTATTTACATATGCCAGATAGTGTCCTGAGTTCTTTATATATATTTAACGTATTTAATCACAGCAACCCTTTCAAGTCAGGGCCTTTATTTGCTCCATTTGAATAGAAGAAACTGAGGCCCAGAGAGGGGAGGCACCCTGTCCAAGTCACACAGCACAGATTTGAACTCACACAGTCTGGGGCAGCACCTGCTTCCATGAGTAACATCAACACATCCAACTGGCCCCAGGGACCCGAGGAGAGCCTGAGCTCCTTCTTAAAAAAAAAAAAAATTGATTTCAGAGAGGGAGGGAGAGAGAGAGGGAGATAGAGACATCAATGATGAGAATCACTGATAGGCTGCCTCCTGCACGCGCCCTATTGGGGACCAAGCATGCAACCCAGGCATGTGCCCTTGACTGGAATCAAACCCAGGACCCTTCAGTCCGCAGGCTGACGCTCTATCCACTGAGCCAAATGGGCTAGGGTATGAGCCCCGTTTGACGCTGGCTGCTGCTCAGTGCCAGCCAAGGTTGCCATGCTGGAAGGGCTCAGGTAGCTGGGGCATTATAGTCTTAAAGGGGAGACAGACAGCTGGGGTTTTCTGTAAAACTCCTGATTTTTTAAAAATGTTTTTATTGATTTTAGAGAGGGAGAGAGACATTAATTGACTATTTAAAAATGTTTTTATTGATTTTAGAGAGGGAGCGAAAGAGACATTAATTGACTACATCCTGCATGCTCCCTACTGGGGATGGAGCCCAAAACCCAGGCATGCGTCCTGACCAGGAATTGAACCGGCAACCTTTCAGTGCACAGGAGGATGCCCAACCAACTGAGCCACATTGGCCAGGGCCAAACTCCTGATTTCTAAATGTGGGAAACCACTTCAAAGTTAAAAGAAAAAAAACATTCTGAGGACCAAGGTATTAGTAATGTCCTACATATCTGCAGGCCAGCCCACCTCTGTCTGTGACCTGCGTGCCCCAGAGGGGGAACTGCAGCCAGAGCGGGGGGTGGGAGGGGGCAGGGAGCGGCTTCCTGGGGGAGGGGTCTTTGCAGACTTGTTTCCAGTGGGGATGGGAAGAAGGCACAGGTGGTGGAGGCTCCTGTTCCAGGGCCTCGTGAACATGTAGGAGGGGAGAGGGTGGGAGAAATCGGGGATGACTCAAGCCCTGATGCTGGGCGCTCAGGTGATGAGAAGAAAGGCAGGGTGCAGGGAAACAGGTTGGGTGCCCTGCTGTGGTGGTGGCAGAGGTGGCTTCCACTGGGGACGTGATGAATTTGAAGCGCGTGAGGGACCTTGGGTGGAGATGTTAGCAGGAAGCTGGCTGTGTGTGTTTGGAGCTGGGGATATATGGATGGGAGAAAGGGCCCAGGACAGAGTAAGGGAGGGGTAGCAGCCACCTTCCGTGGGTAGGAGATGATGAGGAAGCTGGAGGAGCTGCTAGGAAGGTAGGAAGACCAAGCAGGAGTCATTTGGAAAGGAGGGTTTTCCTGTTCCACTAATGACTGGGATTCCCAGAGACGCTGGAGTTCTGTGTGGAGGGAAGGAGAGGGATGGAGTTGGTCTCTACAGCAATGCCACTCACAGTGCGGTCCATGGACCAGCAGTGTCAGCATCACCCAGGAGCTTGTTAGCAACGGCCCCATCCTGGACCTACTGAACTGGAATCCCTGGCGGTGGAGCCCTCCCGGGCTCTCTCAAGCACACTGAAGCTTGAGGACCACTGCTCTGTACTATAAAATAGTTTCCTGTGCCCTGCCCAAGGGTGGGACACAAGGGAGACCCTGGGCCCCAAAAGGAAACAGTTGCCATAAGGAAATCATCAGTTTTAGAGGCACCTCTCCTTCCTCAAAGACAATGTGGACATGGCGCTTACCGCATGCCGGCCACTGTTCCCGATGCTGCAAATACTTTAAACGATTTGGTCCTCACAACAGCCCCAGGAAGTGAGCTACTATTATTATCATCAACCCCTATTAGCAGATGGAGACAAACAAGTAACTTGCCCAAAGTCATACAGCTAGTAGGTGGCAGAGACAGGACACAAAATCTACCTACCTGGGCTGTATACCTGGGCTTCCCAGCAGGCGCCGGAGGAGGGAGCCAGGGGCACCTGGAGGACACCAGCACACAGGGAAGGGGCACGTGATGGAAGGGGGCCTGGGGACAGCCTAAGCAACACCTCGAACACGCAGTGGCCTGGCTGGGAATGCCCAGCGCGGTCCTGCAAGCAGAAGAGAACACGGCTCCAGTCTGTGGACTGGTCCCAGGACTGTTCTTTGAGAATCCGTCCTGGGCTGCACTCTGATTTTCTACCTCGGATCTCTTGTAGGTTTTGGCTGTCTCCGATGGAGGTAAGTGACCAGCCGGTGGAGGAAACCTGGCAGGGGGGGTGGGGTGGGGGGTATGTGAAAATGGGATGGGATACCTCTGCCACTTGCTATCTTTTTCCGGGGAAAGGATCTGCACATGGGGTTGGGCCAAGGGGAAGGCTGCAAAGCTCACATCCACTTGTCTATCCCCCTGCAGAGCTGAGCAGCACGGTGGGACCCCAGGACCAGAGCGAGGGCCGAGGCAGCTCCCTCAGCATCCACAGCCTCCCCAGTGGCCCCAGCAGCCCCTTCCCCACTGAGGAGCAGCCTGTGGCCAGCTGGGGCCTGTCCTTCGAGCGGCTGTTACAGGACCCGCTGGGCCTGGCTTACTTCACGGTAATCCCTGGAGTGGGATCGGGAGGGTGGATGGCAGAGGGGCTGGGAGCATGGGCAGAGCTTCAGGCTGGCCAGTGGGGCTCCTCTGTCAGCTGCCTCCTCCACAGCTTTGCGTTGGCACCCTTTTCCTCCTTTCCCAGCGGGCACTTGTTTCTCTCTGCCCTTGTCTCGACCTCTCATTTTCTCTCTCTGCTCTGAATCTGGCCCCGTCTGTTTGTCTGGCACTATCATCTGTTTGTCTGGCACTATCGGTCTGACTTGGCCTCTTAGCCCTGAGGCTCTATCGGATAGAGTCTATCCCAATCTCTTTGACCGCATCCCTGACTGGGTCTCTGACCTTCATCCGCCCCAGGAGTTCCTGAAGAAGGAGTTCAGTGCTGAGAACCTGACTTTCTGGAAGGCCTGCGAGCGCTTCCAGCAGATCCCTGCCAGCGACACCCAGCAGGTGCGGGTAGCGGGGAGCTGAGGCGGAGGGAGAGCTGGGACCAGGGCCTGGGCGGTGCCCCTGACCGTTTCCTGTCCCGCCTGCCCCAGCTGGCTCGGGAGGCCCGCAACATCTACCAGGAGTTCCTGTCCAGCCAGGCGCTGAGCCCCGTGAACATCGACCGGCAGGCCTGGGTGGGTGAGGAGATGCTGGCTGAGCCGCGGCCGGACATGTTCCGGGCACAGCAGCTGCAGGTGAGAGGGCGTGGCCGCGGAGGGGACCACGTGGAGGAGAGGCGGGGCCAGACCCAGGGGCGGGGCCTGAGCGGCGCAGGGTAGGGGATGAGCGGTGGGGAGGGGAAATGTGGTTGTGGGCTTGGGGACAAATAAATAGGGGGGCGGGGCGCTGGT